TCTTTTTTTGTAGTATCTTTGTCTGGTTTTGGTATCAGGGTGATGGTGGCCTCATAGAATGAGTTTGGGAGTTTTCCTTCCTCTGCAATTTTTTGGAAGAGTTTGAGAAGGATAGCTGTTTGCTCTTCTCTAAATGTTTCATAGAATTCACCTGTGAAGCCATCTGGTCCTGGGCTTTTGTTTGTTGGAAGATTTTTAATCACAGTTTCAATTTCATTACTAGTGATTGGTCTGTTCATATTTTCTATTTCTTTCTGGTTCAGTCTTGGAAGGTTATACCTTTCTAAGAATTTGTCCATTTCGTTCAGGTTTTCCATTTTATTGGCATAGACTTGCTTGTACTAGTCTCTTAGGATGCTTTGTATTTCTGTGGTGTCTGCTGTAACTTCTTTTTCATTTCTAATTTTATTGATTTGAGTCCTCTCTCTCTTTTTCTTGATGAGTCTAATGGTTTTATCAATTTTATCTTCTCGAAGAACCAGCTTTTAGCTTTATTGATCTTTGCTATTGTTTTCTTTGTTTCTATTTCATTTATTTCTGCTCTGATCTTTATGATTTCTTTCCTTCTGCTAACTTTGGGTTTTGTTTGTTCTTCTTTCTCTAGTTCTGTTAGGTGTAACGTTAGATTGTTTACATGAGATTTTTCTTGTTTCTTGAGGTAGGCTTGTAGAGCTATAAACTTCCCTCTTAGAACTCCTTTTGCTGCATCCCATAGGTTTTGGATCATCGCGTTTTCATTGTCATTTGTCTCCAAGTATTTTTTGATTTCTTCTTTGATTTCTTTAGTGATATCTTGGTTATTTAGTAACGTATTGTTTAGCCTCCATGTGTTTGTGGTTTTTCCGTTTTTTTCCCTATAATTCATTTCTAATCTCATAGTGCTGTGGTGAGAAAAGATGCTTGATATGATTTCAATTTTCTTAAATTTACTGAGGCTTGATTTGTGACCCAAGATGTGATCTATCCTGGAGAATGTTCCATGTGCACTTGAGAATAAAGTGCAATCTGCTGTTTTTGGATGGAATGTCCTATAACTGTCAATTAAATCTATCTGGTCTATTGTGTCATTTAAAGCTTGTGTTTCCTTATTAATTTTCTGTTTGGATGATCTGTCCATTGGTGTAAGTGAGGTGTTAAAGTCCCACACTATTATTTTGTTATTGTTGATTTCCTCTTTTATAGCTGTTAGCAGTTGCCTTATGTATTGAGGTACTCCTATGTTGGGAGCATATATATTTGTAATTGTTGTATCTTCTTCTTGGATTGATCCCTTGACCATTATGTAGTGTCCTTCCTTGTCTCTTATAACATTCTTTATTTTAAAGTCTATTTTATCTGATATAAGTCTTGCTACTCCAGCTTTCTTTGATTTCCATTTGCATGGACTATCTTTTTCCATCCCCTCACTTTCAGTCTGTATATGTCCCTAGGTCTGAAGTGGGTCTCTTGTAGACAGCATACAGATGGGTCTTGTTTTTGTATCCATTCAGCAAGCCTGTGTCTTTTGTTTGGAGCATTTAATCCATTCACAATTAAGGTAATTATTGACATGTATGTTCCTATTACCATTTTCTTGATTTTGGGGTGTTTGTTTTTGTAGATCCTTTTCTTCTCTTGTGTTTCACACTTAGAGAAGTTCCTTTAGCACTTGTTGTAGAGCTGGTTTGGTGGTGCTGAATTCTCTTAGCTTTTGCTTTTGATTTCTCCATCGAATCTGAATGAGATCCTTGCCGGGTAGAATAATCTTGGTTGTAGTTTCTTCCATTTCATCACTTTAAGTATATCATGCCACTCCCTTCTGACTTGTAGAGTTTCTGCTGAGAAATGAGCTGTTAACCTTATGGGAGTTCCCTTGTATGTTATTTGTCATTTTTCCCTTTCTGCTTTCAATAATTTTTCTTTGTCTTTAATTTTTGCCAATTTGATTACGTGTCTTGGCGTGTTTCTCCTTGGGTTTATTCTGTATGGGATTCTATGCGCTTCCTGGACTTGGGTGGCTATCTCCTTTCCCATGTTAGGAAAGTTTTCAACTATAATCTCTTCACCTTCTGCAACCCCTATAATACGAATGTTGGTGCGTTTAATGTTGTCCCAGAGGTCTCTTAGGCTGTCTTCTTTTCTTTTCATTCTTTATTCTGTTCTGCAGCAGTGAATTCCACCATTGTGTCTTCCAGGTCACTTATCCGTTCTTCTGCCTCAGTTATTCTGCTATTGATTCCTTCTAGTATATTTTTCATTTCAGTTATTGTATTATTCATCACTGTTTGTTTGTTCTTTAATTCTTCTAGGTCTTTGTTAAACATTTCTTGCATCTTCTTGATCTTTGCCTCCATTGTTTTTCTGAGGTCCTGGATCATCTTCACTATCATTATTCTGAATTCTTTTTCTGGAAGGTTGCCTATCTCCATTTCATTTAGTTGTTTTTCTGGGGTTTTACCTTGTTCCTTCATCTGGTACATAGCCCTCTGCCTTTTCATCTTGTCTGTCTTTCTGTGAATGTGGTTTTTGTTCCACAGGCTGCAGGATTGTAGTTCTTCTTGCTTTTGCTGTCTGCCCTCTGGTCTCACACCCAGTTTCTAAGTTTTATCTGAAACTGCTTGGGAAGCCGAAGGACATGTTTTGTTCCGGTACAAAATTCAGATACACATTTCCATGTTTGGAAGCAAAGCCACAGACTCTAGCAAGATTTTACACTCCCTGTTAGCAAGGAGTGTAGATAATTGAAGAAGTGAATAGGACCATATAACATGAGAAGAGTGGAGCAAGAGAATAAAGCCATAGGTAGGAGGGGACATAGCAGAGAGGCAGATACCCCAATGGCTCTTTGCCAATGGTATGACCTTGACAAGTTTCTTAAACTCTTCATGCCTTGGGTTCATCAAATGGAAACTGGGGTTAGCAACATGTCAGGATGAAATGAGTTACAGGAATACTGTATGGAACAGCACCTGGCACAGAATATACAGTAATAGTCATTATTATAATTAATTTGATCTGCGCAGGACTTATTATTTGATTATCCCCTGCTGTACGCTTAGCACCTAGAACAACTCCAAGCACATGGCAGGCGCTCAGTAAATATTTTTTAAATGAATGACTAAATGAACAGCTAGACTACAAAGAGGACTCTTTTCCAAGAAGTTTGTGATTAATTACTGCTATGAGATATTGACTTCTCTCCCACCCTCCATCCCTCAACCACACCAAACAGTAGTTATGGCTAAATCCAAAGAATTTGGTTTGCATCCACTAAAATGCTAATTTCCAGATTAATTCAGTCCTAAAAAAAAAGTGATCTTGAAAGGTATCTGGGATTGGATGTTCTACGAGATTAGTCTAACATCCATTTCCTGTTTCTTCTTTTAAATCCATCTTTAGCAACTGGTGTTTTCAGTAGTAGCTTGGTTGCTTAGGGAGTCTGAGTGTTTTGGGGGTGTTTTTGGTCTGGGAGTAGAAGGTAATTATCTTATCAAAAAAATGAAAGTCATTAAGATTTTACCTTCATGGCTAGCATGGATCCAGTGTACATTTAAAGAATTATATATAATTGGGTCCCTAACCCATTTATCTTTCTATAAGATAGAAAGGGCGAAACATTTTAAAATTACTTCCAATTCCCAAAGTGGTGGATTCCATGAGGCTCAGAAGGGCTGTGTGATAAGCCCACTTTCAAGTCAAATTCTTTGTCCAAGATTTGGGGGAACAAGACAGTAGAAATACTCATTCCTGTGGGAGGCCAGGCCACCTGTTTCTCTATCAATAACTGAGGTATGACATAAGGCTGCATATTGTTTCTTGATCCTCAGATATGCCCCTTTTGTCTGACTGGTTTTGAGATAAACAGAAACAAAAAAATCTATCTCACAAGGGATGCTTATGCACTAATTTAATTCTGGATAGGTGTTCACATAAAATGTTCCATAAAAAAAATTATTATTAATATCCTTAATTAAAACAAAAACAGTTGCAGCACACAGATTCAGCCAAATTAGTAAAATTACAGATTAGGTAACTGGGTTGCTAAGCAATATTACATCCTCATTTTACTTAATTGCTGTAATTAGCATCTCCCTGCATACCACAATGCAAGACACACAAAAATAAGTAAAGAAAAGGAAAGAAAGAAAGGAAGGAAGGAAGAAGAAAGAAAGAGAGAGAGAGAAAGAAAGGGAGGATGGAAGGAAGGGAGGGAAGAAGGAAAAGCAGCCGGTTAGATCCCTTCAGTGGTTCTGGTGCTCCTTTTGAATACTTTCATCAACTGGTCACCCCTAATGGGGCTCAGCAGTCAACAGACTCTTCAGGAAAGAAGTGAGGGGAAATAATCTCTAATAAACCCCAAACTATCAGACAGGAAGGGCTGCCCAAGAACAAGCGTGCTGTCCCTCGGCCAAGAATAACTGAACACTTACCTCATTTCTACCTTCTAAACTTCTTTCATCTGGATATGGTGGTAAAAGACTTAGGCAAGTTCCCATCTCTGAGAAAGTTGATATCATTGAGGGATACTGAGTATAAGCAAAGACCCACTGAACATAGGAGAATGAGCAGCAAAACAGATTGGAGCCCAGTTTTGACTAGTTAATGGTATTACCCAGGTGCATTTCCAGGGACACGTGATCATCCTCCACACATTCCCCATGGCCTCACAATCATTCAGAGCCAGCTTCCGGCAGTTATAAAGAGGGAGGAAAGTAGATGTGAAAAGTTGCACTGATAAACTATCTCGTCTATCCTCCACAATGACTCTTCACAGTGTATTATGAGCTCCATTTTCCAAACAAGGAATCCATGGTTCTCTGTGGTAAAGTAGCTGCCCAGGACCACATATTGAGTGTCCAGCATTTGAGCCCAGGTCCACAAGACTCTTTCCATCATACCAGGAAAAGGGGCCAAGCTCCACCTGGTCAACTTTAGGTGGGAAGGAAATTAAAGTGAGAGAGTATAATGAAGACTTCAGGTCATCCATGGGCTTAACTCATCCATGTACTTTCCTTCTCCAGGGATAAACAAGACTCACAGTCTGATGGATGCTGTCACATCATGATCATCCAATGTCTTGGTAAGTTTTTCCTTTCAAGTTAATAGCCTTTTAATTATTTAGCAGTTTTAGAACTCTAATTTTTAGATATATTCTTTGAATTGTCTGATTATCTTTACATATTCTTCTATCCCATCTATGCTTTAATTACTTCAACGTATATCACAATGGGTACAGAATACATATTATTAAAAGATCTTCAAGAACTTCTCCATGTAAGGTAATGACAATTAAAATCAGCCCTGGTTTACTGAGAAAATAAAGCCATGAGTGCATAAACTGAACAATTAGCTCTTACAACATTTGGCTTTTATCTCTCGCATTTTTTTTTTAATTCCCCTACTATCAGCCTCTAGTACCATGTTGGCTCCTAGCAGGAGCCTGTTAAAAGTTTCTTAAATTGAACTGAAATTCCTTCTCCAAGGATGCAGCCATCAATTAAGCCACCTACCTGCAATGCTGTTACAGGCAGCATTCAGAACTAACTGTGATGTGAGGTAAGGGGTTCCAGGTTCCCTATTTCCATCTCACACTTCCCTCTCCCTATAAACAAACCCACAACTGTTAATTAACCCAATCCTTACATCACAATGACTTTGGTTTAAGACACTACAAGTCCCTGATAAATACAGTATCACAGGTAGGATCAAATAGGTCCAGTTACTTCTCAGTCATTCATACATTAATGCCAATTATTAATATTTTCCCCAATAATAACAGTTGCTAGCATTTATCAATCACTTATTATATCTCAGTAATCTGCTAAACGTTTACATACACTGTCTCAGTTGGTCCTATTAATAACTATATGAAGCTGAAGATACCATTACCTCCTTCATATAGATGAGGAGACTTGTTTTCAGAGAGACTGATATTTTGCCCCAAATCACTTTGCAAGTAGAGGTCTCAGAATTTGACTCCTGGTTTGTCTGATTCCAAAGTCCATGAATCTCCTCACTCTGCTAATCTCCCACTCACCACCTCTGAAGAACTCCTGGATTGGTAAGAAGGAGGGCAGGATGCTGACAGTTAATATGTGTACTAGGTATATGGGAACAAATGGAATGGATGGGTGTGTAGGCAAACCCCACACTTTTCAGTTTGACAGAGTGCAGATTCTTGGGCATGTAGATCCTTTCATGCTACCCTAGGGAATGCCCATGGAATATGCCCACATTCGGTAAGAGTGAGGGTGGCTCCTAGGCTTAGCGTGAAAACCATGGGCTGATTATAATTTAATGTTTGACAAATGCAATTGGCCAGCCTTTTCCAGTGGAAAGCATTCTTAAAATGTCTGAGGCTGGCCTGAGGCAGCAGCTACTTTCAGCACTTAGAAACAGGTTAGTTCCTGAGGCACCAAAGATTCCCCCAAATGTTCCATGTCTCCGGTTCCCAAGTGATATCAAAGGAGAGGAGTGCATATCCGTCTGTTCCTTTTTTTGAGCTACTTCAAACCCACAGGTCAGGGAACTGGGCTCAGAGCAGCGTCATTCTTTTTACAAGCTCTGTGCTTCTGAATTTTTCACCAACCACTGGGACTGGGTGGGCAGAACTTCTGGGTTAAACTTCTTCTAGAATTCCAGAAATATTGCAACCTTACCCCTTGCTCTCTGTAGACCTATCTCACTTGCCATTTGTGACGACAGTGACAAAAAACCAACACACTTACTCCTTATGGGCAAGAATACCTTTCTTTTTTTTAATGCTCAGCAACATCAAATAAGCTTTTAGCTAAGGAAAAAATGTTTTCCCAGGGATGCATAAAAAGCTGAAGGATGAGAACAACTAAAATTATAACATGTTTGCAAACTTCCTGAGCACACTGCTATGAACTGCGCCATCAATGTACAGAGGCACCATGGAATTTTGTCAGTGGAAAAAGTGACTGCCTGTAACTTCTCTGCATGGAGGCTGACACCAAAAACATATTGTGAGCATTTCTAGGGCCTCTGCCTTGAAATACAATCAAATTTTCATCTCCCAGAAAAATATAAATTAGATGTGCCTGGGCCCCCCCAAAAAACCTCAAAACAAATCAGCAAATCAACTATGAACTGTCTGAGCTGAGGGATAACTTGATTTTAGAAGAAAACTGTTTCCTACTGGCTACAGTCCCAGCCAGTTCTTTCTGTGCAAAAGAAAAGACTGTCTCTGACCTGAACAATGCTTTCCAGAACTGCTAAGATGAAGGGAAGAGGACTGACAGCTGCCCAGTCCTGCTATGTGCCAGGCATCATGCTAAATAAGGCTGTAGTTAAGTCAGTGCAATGGATTGAATTCTGCTCCACCCCTACCCTATCAATTCATACAGATGAAGCCCTAATCCTCAATGTGACTATATTTAGAGATAGAACCAAGGTCATTAAGGTTAAATGAGATCTTAATGATGGGGCCATGCTCTGATGGGATTAGTGTCCTTGTAAGAAGAGGCCCTGGAGAGCTCAAGTTTTCTCTCTCTCTCCTCATGCATGCAAAGAAGTCATGTGAGCCTGTAGCAAGGTGGTAGCCATCTACAAAATCAAGAAGAGAGCTCTCACCAGAAACCAACCATGCTTGGACCCTGATCTTAGACTTCCAGCCACCAGAATTGTAAGAAAATAATTATCTGTTGCTTAAGCCACCCAGTCTATGGTATTTTGTTGTGGCAGCACAAGCTAATACAGTCAAATTTTAACTTTCATAATCACTCTGCAGTAGACATTTTTCAGACAAGGAAAATGTTTTCAGACAAGGAAAATGAGGATCAGAGAGGAGAAGTGATTTGCTCAAGATCATACAGCCTGTAAACTTGGGCTTAACTGGGCAAAACTGGAGTGTGAACCCAAGTCTGTCAAATCCAATACTGTGATCTTTCCTCTCTACCATTAAATTAAGTTGTTGTTCTTTTATTTTTTAAGGAGATAAGAGTAAAAATAACTAAATTTATGTAGCATTTACCATCATATCATATGCACGTTACACTGTCTAATGTGATCCTCTTTTTTTATTAATTTATTTTTGGCTGCATTGGGTTTTCATTGCTGCATGCAGGCTTTCCCTAGTTGCAGCGAGTGGGGGCTACTCTTCATTGTGGCGTGCGGGCTTCTCATTGCGGTGGCTTCTCTTGTTGCGGAGCACAGGCTCTAGGCACGTGGGCTTCAGTTGTGGCATGCTGGCTCCTTAGTTGTGGCTCATGGGCTCTAGAGCGCAGGCTCAGTGGTTGTGGTGCATGGGCTTAGTTGCTTCACGGCATGTGGGCTCTTCCCGGACTAGGGCTCGAACCCGTGTTCCCTGCATGGGCAGGCAGATTCTTAACCACGGTGCCCCCAGGGAAGCCCCTAATGTAATCCTTATAACAACCTTGTCAGGCAGGTACAAATATCATCCACATATTACAAATATGGGATATGAGGCAAAAAGAGATGGTATGATTTGCCCAAGTTTCCAAAGCTGGTAAGTAGCTGGGATTTGGAGCCATGTTGTACTGTCTGAGGGATAATTCAATCATAGAAGAAACCTGTTTCCTACTGGTGACACTCCCAGCCAGTTTCTCTCATGCAAGACTGTCTCTAACATTCCGAACAATGCTTCCCAGCACCGCTAAGCAAAGAGAAGAGGACTGACAGCTGCCCTGTCCTGCTATGTGCCAGGCATCATGCTAAATAAGGCTGTACTTAAGTCATCACTGTGCAGTGACATCCTGTGCACTGGAGGATCCATGCAGTGGGGCACTGCACAGTCATTCAAAGGAAGCTGAGGTAGAGGGCAAAGGACCCATGGAAAATGCCTATAAGATGAAAAAGCAGGGCAGCCATACTGTACATTCTAGGAGCTGCTGATGACTCTGTGAGCACCTGGATCCAGGACACCCTTTGAACTAATTCATCATTGGTCATCACAGCTTGAGGCAAAACAGTGCTTCCGAAGAACCACAGAGGAGAAAGCACCCAGTCCTTGCTATGGCATTTCCTTCCTACCATGAACCCTGGAAGGCAGCAGAGCCTTCCAGGAATCTTCTAAACCAGTGGTTCTTATTAGCCTGCATCAGAAACACCTGGAGGGCTTGTTTACTTACAGATGGGCTGGGCTCCACTTCAGAAGTTTCTGATTTAATTGGTCTGAAGTGGGATGGAGAATTTGCGGTCTGGGACCCTACTTTGAGAACCCTTGGTCTAAGTCCTGGGTAGAAACTCCAGGTCTCTGAGAGCATCCCCAGCTCCGTCCTCACTCTGTTGGGGGATCTGAGTGGCCATCTATTCATGATTAAGTTGTTAGGAGAGCTAAGGGAAGCTTTGAGCAGATTCAAAGAGCCACCAAAACTTCAGGGAATAAGAAACATGCTCCTGGGACGCTGCAGAGAATGGTGGTAAAGAAGGTGGGTTCAGAAGCAGAATCTCAGGTCTGATTCTCACCAGCTGTATGACTGTGGGTAGTTACTTAACCTCTTAGTTCCTCAGCTTACTTCTTTGTGAAATCGGAATAAAACTTAAACCTTGTAGGGTTGTGAGGGTTAAATGTGGTATCCCTGAGGACTACATGTGCTTGATGCTTGTTAAAAACACAGACTCCTGGGCTTCCCTGGTGGCGCAGTGGTTAAGAATCCGCCTGCCAATGCAGGAGACATGGGTTCGAGCCCTGGTCTGGGAAGATCCCACATGTCGCGGAGCAACTAAGCCCGTGCGCCACAACTACTGAGCCTATGCTCTAGAGCCCGAGAGCCGCAACTGCTGAAGCCCGTGCTCCGCAACAAGAGAAGCCACTGCAATGAGAAGCCCGTGCACCACAATGAAGAGTAGCCCCTGCTCGCCGCAACTAGAGAAAGCCTGCAAGCAACAATGAAGACCCAACGCTGCCAAAAATAAAATAAATAACTTTTTTAAAAAAGGAGCTGCTTTCTTAAACAACAACAAAACAGACTCCTGACTCGTAACCCTGGCCTGCTCAGCCTGAATCTCCAGGGCAGGGCCTTGGGGCCAGACTCCTTAATAAACAGCCAGGTGATTCTTAAATTGGATAAGTTTTGCAAACTCAGAATCCATGTAAAGCCCTTGGCGTTGATCTATGCTCCCTCCACAAAGGTCAGCCACTGGCTTATTACCAGCTGGGTCTAGCTATTTGCAAATGGTACTACCATGGCCTTTGTGATAACGTTACCCAGGATGATTAATTAGTAGACACCCTAACCTATAATAAAATTTTAGAAGACGTGGCTCTGTATCCACAAATAAAAATTAATTGAACCATACATTTAAGATTCATGTACAGTACTGTTTATAAATTTTACCTCAATAAAAGGTTTTCAAAAGAAATATTAAAAAGACATGACTCCCCTTCCTTAGAGAAATGCCCTCGAAGACAAATAACGCTACTAGACAGGCTATGTGCCCAAATGCTCATATATCAAGGGCACAGTGCCACATGTGACTGCCTGGAACACATGGAAAGTAAATGAAAGAGTCACCTGATGAACTTCAACATGCGGTCGGGGAAGAAGCCACTGGAAGTACTGGGGTAGCTTCTATAATGCAATGATCCAGAGTTTCCTTGGACTTCTACCGCTTCTAACGGTGGTTTCTCTAAACCATCCTCAGCCCAGCCTCCCACCTCAGAGAACCAGCTTTACCTGCAAGGACACAAAGAGTTTCAGTCCTCAGCTGAGATGAACGCTGCTTCACAGCCTGAAGCTACAAAGGGGCTACATCTCCCCCGCGTGATTACACAGGGGAAGGGAGGGGTCGTTTTCCTCGCTCTTTGCCAAAAGTCTTTTTCTAGACACATCCACAGGGTCGAGGAGGGGAGCTGACCATGACCAATGTGTGCAAACCACGGTAGCTGATGAACAAGCCAAAAGGTCAGTGAAAAACCCATTTCCCCAAAGCGCATCTCTCCTGGGTTTGGCAGAGGGCAGCATTCTGCATTAACAGATGAGGACTCAGAAGAGGGAGGTGAAGTGATCAGGCGGGGTAAGACTGTTTTCGCGGGAGCAAAACTAGGATGGGAAGTTCAGGTCCTGCATCTCCAGCCTGCTGCTCAAGGACAGACAGCTCCTTACCTACTAGCTCAAGGGGCTGAAGTAAGAATGGACTGCCAGCGCTGCCTTAACATCTTACCTCTGCCTCACAGGCTCCCAGCTTAAGATCAGGGTCCTGATTATGGGCCTAATTTTATCATGGCTCCTATGGCTAATATACGCACATCATAGTGAAGTTTTTTGCAGTGCAGAGGTCAGTAATTTGGGAGAGGGGTAGCGAGATGAGAGGTCAAGTATCCCCGCTACAGCTCCTTTATATTTAGGTGGCAGACATTGATTTTTTAAAACGTTGCATCTTCTGTTCTAAGTGAGCAGTTTGCACTGAATGGGGTTTCCATTTCCTATTTCCATACTGGACGCAGGCTTATGGTTTGAGGCTATTCATGTGTTTTGCTCATAATCCAGACCTGACATCCCTATGGCTCATGAGCCTATGACAGGCGCCCCACCCAAACCTACTCAGATACCCTTCACTGTGTCTGTGCACCCATCTCTCCTTCTGGGGGCTTTGCTTTTTTATGGGTTCATATCTATGATTTTCTTCAATGAGTGCCCTGAGCCACAGGTGCCCCAGGCTGGGAAGATCCCACATGCTGCGGAGGACCATGAGCCATGGCCGCTGAGCCTGCGCATCCGGAGCCTGTGCTCCGCAACGGGAGAGGCCGCGGCAGTGAGAGGCCCGCGTACCGCAAAAAAAAAAAAAAAAAAAAGAAAGTGATGGGGATTGTGCTGAATTTTAATGAACCCCAAGACATAGCCTGAATCTTCGCAGGAACATTTCAGGATGCTTGGATTCTGATCATTGAGGTTTTATTGTAAACATCAGTAGTACTTGAATAGCTAGCCTGCCGAAATTTCTGAGGCTGAGGAGACTCAAATTAAATTACTGTTTTATTTCATTTTATTTATTTGATTAATATCTAAGTGATCTAGGCCTGGTTCCTAGCCCCGGAAGGCTTCCTCTATTCACCTCTGGGGCCAATAGTTAGCATTTTCAGGTTACTTCTGCTGTTCTCCATAACCAACCATGAGTGGAAGTAAGAGGGATTTTAGGGAGTTTCAGCTCTATTCACTATTGCCATTTTGAGTTTGTGGTACTTTTGCTCTGCCACTGAGTCTCATCGTCTTCCCTGCACCTGAGCCTTGACTATGACCTGTCAGGCATCTCAATCCCTTCAGAACGGAGAACCCACCTTGATTCTACCTCTTGCTCAGAACAGATGCCCCCAAACCTCAGTCCACTCTGCTGCATCCACTGGACCAAACTCCTTCCAGAGTTTGCCCCACATTGTTCAATAATTCATTCAACAGACATTTAAGGGCCCCAAATTACCAGGCACTATGCCAGCGGGGGCCACAAACATTATGTTAACACACATAGCTTCTAGGTAGAGAAACAGAGGTAACAGGAGTAATGAAAACTGCACCCATTGTCATAAGGCACATACAGAAAGAGCTCGCAGCAGAAGCCAGGCGTGAAGGCAAGACTCTGGTTTGATGTGCTTTCATGCTCAGGATATAGGGTCATGCTCAGGACATAGGGCCTTAAAGAAGGGGGTAAGCATATGATGTATTAGGATAATGTCACATGAACATTAAGTATGCATTGAAGGTGCTAAGAAACAGACCCTGGCAGCCCCACTTCCACGGGCAGCATCACACAACTGCAGAAGAACTTGTTATGGGGTCTCCCGCTGAGTGAGCTTTAAAAAGCACAATGGGACATTCCCATGTGGCATTTTTTGTGCCACCAAGTGAAGTCCCTTTCTTAATTCTACCTGAACGTCAAGACTGTAAACACACTGGTATAGTTCATCTCAGAGGGAATGGGATGGAGACCCAGGAAGGTGACTAGGCTGGCACCATATCACAGATGGCACTGTTCCTTCCTGATGGAGAAGCAGTTTGTTCTCTGGCTTTGTGTTGCCCTGTGTTTGGTCATAAATAATAATCTATCAATAAATTGCTAAAAACGTGTGGCTATATCCTGGAGGAACTCTCAGCTCTTACTGCAAGAGGAAGCAGTAATATCATAAGATGCTGAAATAATTGTAATTGATTAAAATAGTTTCAAACAGACCACACATCATACCCGGACACAAAACCATGGCTACCTGGTGGCAAGAAGAGGGTACGTGTGAACTGGGCTGAACCAGGCTTCCTTCCTCCGTGGCATGTTGTCATAAATTAGAAGGTCCTTCTCAGTCAGCACAACCAGGGCTGGCTTCCACTGTTTCTCGCTGTCCCCGGGCACCTGAAACAGAAAGCAGAGACCCATCAAGCAACAGCCTGAGAAGAGAGTACCTGAAAAGAAGGTGGCATCCCCCCAGTCAGAAGACTCAACAATACAAGTGCCTTTTGGTTCAGGTTGTAAAAATCAAAATGAGAAGAAACTATTCATGGTTGCATGATTCTTTTTTTTGTGTGTGTGGTTCGCGGGCCTCTGTTGCGGCCTCTCCCGCTGCGGAGCACAGGCTCCGGACGCGCAGGCTCAGCGGCCATGGCTCACAGGCCCAGCCGCTCCGCGGCATGTGGGATCTTCCCGGACTGGGGCACGAACCCGTGTCTCCTGCATCGGCAGGCGGACTCCCAACCACTGTGCCACCAGGGGAGCCCCGGCTGCATGATTCTTGATCCTTGAAAATATGTTTTCTCAAGGGCCCTGGCATGTACAGCCAGTGCAGCCAAGAAGTAGCCCAGCAGCCAAACATCTGTCACTGTTTCTCACCTGCCAGTCAGCACTGAAATCTCTATTTCATAGTGGGACGCAAATGCGTAGGGGAATAAGCACTCCCAGCTGGTTCTCTGGTAGAGTGCATTGTTTTTATTATGAAATGGTAAGGTCTGAAGGCTTTTGAATAAATATCCAAAGGCTCCAAACCAGGAGGCAAATGTCTGTCTCCACAGGCAGAGACGTCACAGCTCTTCCCCCAGTCTTTCACTCTTAGATTGTTTCTGTGATTCAGGCACCATCTTAAAATTCTTTTGTTCAACTGAATGTTTATTTCCTTTCATGGAGAATACTTCTGTAACTCAAGGGCTGAGATGACCTGGCAGGGATACAAGAGGATTCAAACATCAGCTGGATGTTTGGACCAGATGACCTTTAAAGTTCCTTTCAATCCTGAGAGTCTGTGTAGCTCAGACCTTATCTCATGAGCCATCCCTCCTCTGCCCAGTGTTGATTTGACCAGACTCCCTAAGTGTTCTTCCACCCATGAAAATGCCCTCCTTCCCACTTGAACTCTGGGCCCTGGCATAAATCTTTCTGATCAGTTTGGAAAAGCTCAGTGCTCTAGCCTTGGTACTCCAAGCACAGATCATGTTCCAGTAGCATCAGCATCACCTGGAAGCTTGCTAGAAATGCAGAATCTCAGGTCCATCCCGGACCTATTGAATCAGAATCTGCATTTTACCAGATCTTCAGGTGATTCTTATCATCATGAAAGATAACAAACACTGCTGTGGATGAGATTAAGATTGTCTTTGATACTGGCAGTTAATCCAGTGATGATTCAACTCTCTCATAATGAACCACCATCTCCAATTTATTCAGAAATAAAAGAAACAGTAAACTAAATAAATAAACAGTAAGCTAAATAAATGATAAAGCAACTTCTTCCCTTTCTATGCTTATCATTATCTTTTCTAAGCACCACAGTGAGATCTGTATTGAGGTGGAAGCAAGTGTGTGTGGCTTTACAAATGACTGATCAAAGAGAAGGTGTGCAGGATGATATGAGGGTTGAGCTTTTGTAGGTTTATGTAGCTTATAGGCTGCCTGACCTGTGTAACTTGGAGCAAGTTATTATTCTCTGTCCTTCTGTTTCCTCACTGATAACATATACAACAGTATATTCTGGAGCTAGAATGCCTGAACATAAATCATAGCTCCACAATTTGCTACAACATCCCCACAAGACCGTGGGATCTTGGGCAAGTCAATTATTCTCTTTGTATCTCAGTTTTTATATCTGTAAAATGGGGAAATAATAGTACCTATATCAGAGGGTTGTTGTGAAGATTGAGTTAAAATGTCTAAAATGCAGATTAAACATCATTTAGAGCCTGTTTAGTAGCATGGACCTCATAATGCTGGAGAGGAGATTAAATGAGACAGTGCATGTTATGTGCTGAGCCTGGTACCTGGCAGATGGTGAAACTCAGGGTGGGAAAATTGTGGCAGGCTCACCAATTTTTAAACTTATCAAAAAAACGTATTCTTTGGAAACAGCAACAATATAACTACCTGCTTTCCCTGGGAAAAACTATAAGGCAAGACACGATTATCTTTGGTGCTGACAATTTCAACTCATTCTCCTCCCAGGAAGAATTCATTACACAATGATCACCTTTACTTTTGAATGCCCACCTTCCAACAATTCCAAATAAACATTTACTTTTTAGAATGAAGAAATCCCCTGTAGAGCTATTTATACTAGAATGTGAATGACTGCCTGGCTTATTTCCCCCTTTATGCATTTTATGCATACAAAAAAATTGAGCCTTAGCTTATTGCTTTTTCCAACAGTATCTTCAAGAGATCAAAATGAATTGTTAGAGAAGGCAATGTACCAGACCCTACAAGGTGAATAAGCTATGGTCTCAAGGCATAAAGTGTTTGGGGGGTTTAGAATAAATTTTTTCCAGCCTCTACATTAAACCTAGTAAATTACTTTTCCAGCTCATTAAATAGGACTGGAGAAGCTACAAACAATCCTCCCAAAGCGCCTGTCTTACTTACCTCGTCACATCTGATCCATTAACTCTGACTGGAACCAGTCACTTAAATGTGAACACAACTAAGCATCATTCTTCAAAAACAATATTAAGTTTGTAAAATAAATGTCAACAGTAAATACCATCAGTAAAGTGCAGACCTTTCTAATGGTGGAATCGTAAACTCACCCACATGTTAAGTGGCATATATAGGTATGAATAATCCCAAAGCCCTAAAACATTTTGTGGTTTATTAAAGACTTCTGTGTTGATAAGTTAATTCTGCTGCAAGAAGACTCAGAGTGGGCAATCCCCACCATCCTTGTGTACAGAATGTTCGTTTTGATACTATGTGGATGCTCAAAGGTAGAAGTCTGCTCATGAGGACCACCGACTTTCCAAGGAGAAAATATTCATGTTGAAGAACAGGTTTTTAAAACTATACTTTGGGCCACATGAGCTCCACATTGTAAAGCCTTTCAAGGACACTTTTCTTCAGGCTTGAATATTTAGGTTGTAGTTTGGTGACAACTTCTGTTACAAGTCCAAATTTCCTGGCACCCAAAGATTCTCCAGTGTCTATGCAACAGTTCTGGGGATGTGTCTGCATTTTACTGAAACGTGACTCCTGAAACGGATGTGAAACTTTCATCTCCACCCAGCTTCCCGCCATCAGATGCTGCATCGGTCAGAGACTCAAGAACCGATCATGTTTCTAATGAAGAAGGTGAAGCGAAAAAGCAGGAAAACAGACATTCAATTTTGAAATTATTCTGATGCGCAACTGAAGTGAGCTAAATCCCATAGGGGGATATTGCACAGTCACCTCTGCAGAGCATGAGAGAAAAGGTTTATGAAAAGACAAGCAGAATCTAAGAGAGTGGTAAGAAGTCAAGGTTGAAAACTGAGGGAAGTAGATTTAAATGTATGAAATCAACACGGTGTATACCTTAAACTTACACAATGTTCTATGTCAATTTTATCTCAATTTAAAAAAGAATTGAGGGAAGTAAGCATTGAATCCTCAATTTGAGGCAGGTCTCAACAGTCATCTAGTCATAAAACAAAATGTGAAACAACTGAAAGAGAGTTTGTATAGGGTTGCAGCCGGGTTGGGGTCCCAGACTTTATGGCTTTATCCTCCAACAACTCACATCTCTGAGCGGGGTTCCTAACAAACACTGAAATACAGTTTGAAAACTGCTGAACTCGTTTCCTCTAAAATACCTGGAATCTGCAGATTACTTTCAAAGAGATGGTTTTACCAAAGCAGAAACTAACATACCATTGTAAAGCAATTATACGCCAATAAAGATGTTAAAAAAAATTAAAGTTATAAGATAACGAAAAATACAAAAAAAAAAAACCAAAACTTTTCCGTGCCCTTTCTGTAGGTACTTACAAAGAAAAGAATGATGCTGTTGCCTCTTAGAGTTGTAAAGGTTAAATGAATAAATACACATAAAGAACTCAGAAATGTCTTGAGTACAGTAAACAGGCAAGTCTTAAACATGTTAGCTTTTCTCATGGTGATCATTTTGCAATGTGTAGAAATATCGAATCACTATGTTGTGCACCTGGAACTAATATAGTGTTGTAGGTCAATTATACTTCAAACATAAACTCACAGAAAAAGAGATCAGATCTGCGGTTCAGAGGTGGGGATGGGGGAGGGGGAATTGGAGGAAAATGGTCAAAAGGTACAAACTTGCAGTTATAAAATAAATAAGTACTAATGATGTACAATATGATTAATACAATTAACACTGCTGTGTGCTATATATGAAAGCTGTTGAGAGCAAATCTTCTCATCACAAGGAAAATATATATATATTTTCTTTTATTTTGTATCTTTATGAGATGGTGGATGTTCACTAAACTTATTGTGATAATCAGTCCATGATGTATGGTAAGTCAAATCATTATGCCGCATACCTTAAACTTATACAGTGCTATATGTCAGTTATATCTCAATAAGTAAATAAATAAATAAAATTTAAAATAGATAAAAATTAACAAACAATAAGTAAAGAGGTCTATGGAATTAAAAAACATTACCTCTTTCTACTAAGAATATCAAATTAAAGATCTGAGTGACCTTGGGCAAGAATTATTTGCCTTTGGAGCTCTAATGTCCTCATCTGTCAAAGGATAGGGTAAGACTAAATTATTGCTAACAGCCTCTCCAAATTCAAAATCAGATTTTTTTTTTTTTTTTTTATAGTTTAAAATTCCCTGCTATATAGGCTGGGACTGCTTTAGTTTCTAGACTCTTGCTTTATACCTCTTCTGTGTTCAGTGGACTTTGCTCACAGGGCAAAAAACAATGTGTGGGTCTCTTTCTCTCTCCTCATACCAACTCACTCTTCCCAACATACTTATTTTCTTTTTTTTAACATCTTTATTGGAGTATAATTGCTTTACAATGGTGTGTTAGTTTCTGCTGTATAACCAAGTGATCAGCTATATGTATACATATATCCCTATACCCCTCCCTCTTGCAGAGGTCTCCCTCCCACCCTCCCTATCCCACCC